TTGCATTAAACTCTATACTGCCCTTTTGCCACTCCTGCATCACTGCGTTGCCCAATCTTCTTTGCATATCTTGGTACTTCGCCCAACTCATGGGCTCTGCTGCGGCTTCTGTATATCCGCTTCGTTGGATATCGATTTGGTACCCCTTTCTCAATTCTTGTATGCTTTGATGCTTGATTGGATTCCCTACTCTAGCATCCCAGTCACCAGATCGCCCTCGTCGCTCAAACCATTGTGCCAGATGTGACAATGTTCCACTTAATGTCCCTGGTGCTGCCCTCTTGATGCAAACCCCTCCTTCTTTGCTAATCGGTACTCTTCCATGCGTTGGCATCCATTCTTTTGTCATGTATACGAGTACATCGTAGGGTGTGCAGTTATCTAATGTTTTCTTCAGTGGCAGTTTCTCCAGAAATTCTTGTAACTGTTGTACCTGGCACTCTTCCTCCTGCCTTGTCTTGAATGCTCGACATTGCCTCCCCAAATTTGCTGCTGTGCTCAATCCTTGTTTGTACATCGTTCGGCACTCCTCTACACTGACTTGTGCCTGACCTGCCCTGGTGGCCACTTTGGTTCGCTCTTTCCTATACCAGCTCTCCACATCGTAATCCCACGTTTCTTCCTACAACACAATTCACTCGTTAATTCCTTTGTTCTCCTTTGTTTTCACTCCGTGGTCGATCTATTTGGTTGGGAAGGAAGGCTTGATAAGGATATCCAGCCTTTTGGGTTGGGAAGCGTTATGACTCCTCATCGCATAATGACTTCCATTCCCTGGTGGCCGGCCAGGCACCGGCCAGCTACTCCATGCAGCACGGAGTGAGATCGTAAGTATGTATTCATTAACTTGCCATTTGATTCTTCATGTATGTCACGTGCCTGAATTTAATCATTTCCCAGCGTCTTTTTATACCTTCTGCACATCTGCCCATTCAGTTCTTTGATTCCCTGCACTGGCATCCCACAACACATTAAAGGGGGAATTAATTGTGCATTGTAAACAACGATTTCTGGTCCCATTGTTCCGCCTCTGCGCTTTCTCCCCCGGCGTCTTGGAAGGGCGACTGTACTTGTACGGCAACAAGAAGTGAGGCAATGTCTATAGAAATTAGAAGTATTTCGACACAGCCAATCAAAAGGTGATTTACAATATTTGGCCTTCCTCAAGTTGTCCCCCGGCATCGCTGGCGGCGGTCACATGCACAACGACTGTTGCTGGGACTCCACCTGCGAGAACCAGCAAAGCGAATACGCAGTACTGCTGAGATGGGCGGCGGAAACAGAAACTGTGCTCGTGCACAAAGGAATATTGGCTACGTATGTTACGACTTTGCAAACAACAGGTAGGTCGGCTGCTGGCGGAAGGATGTCAATTTGGTGCATTCTCCCCGTATTCCAACCATGAGCACAGTGGCAATGCCAAGCCGCAGAAATATGCGAGCCTGGTTGCATCATTGGTGTGGGAGCGATTTAGTCAACACATGGTGAACAGGGTGCTCGCGCGTGCATGAAGTATGGATCTAGGGAAAGCGAATGACGTTGAACAAAAAGCGGCGATTCGGTGACCAACATGATTCTGCTGGCCAGCAGGGTTTGCGGAGCAAACAATTGTGTGGCGGATGGTGTTTTGCACAATCCATTTTTGCAGCCTGTCCATTGTGCCTGTGCGAATAAAAGCGAGGGCTTCTGAGTGATAGTGTGACGATTAGTATCACTAATCGCTAAATTGACATCAACACAGGCATTAGTGTCCACAAGCTAAGTTTTATTCCAAAGCAGACAAATTTTGCAATCTTGTATGTCTTTCACGCTGGTTTATCAGCAATGATCGTTGGCGATAAACCAGCATCAAAAACACACAAGATTGCAAACTTTGTTTATGAGCTCACTTATATTGTACACTCTCTACGCTTTATCCATACGTAGTATCAGGCAATCAAAAGTGCTGCTGCAAGCATTGCAACTGCAATTGCAGAGAAAATCCAAGCCTTCTCCCTGGGCAGCAAGCGTGGGGCACATTCAAAACCCCCCCTCGACGTCCCCCTCCGTTCCAATAAAGCATCCAATGCTTACTGTGAGGGCGATGAATATGTGGCAGATAATTATAACGTGAATGGTGTTAGATATGGTGCGATTAGGCATCGTGAACACGGTGATAAAAACATGGTGAATATGGGAATGGTGGGTTGCTAAATGGGGACATTTCCTGCGAACACTATTTGTTTGATGTGTTTGCCCTGTAATGCATCTGCTTTGCGGCCTTGCTCCCCGTGCCCGAGAAGCGACCGTGTGTGAGCGTGAGCGAGGGCGTTCGGTTAGCCCAATACTTGCCATACCACGTGTCTCCCTCCACGCTACGAAAACACATGTTTATTTCATTTTCCCCAACTCCTGGTTGAACAACCGTTTGCAAACCATCAATTGATGGTTAAAATTCAAACATATTAAAATACGGAGACATGCAGAACACTGACTACCTGTTGAATTTGGATTGTGAAAACAGCACGACTTTTTGTGGCGTTGCAGTAGTAGAAGGGAAGACTGGGCGTAGTGGAGAGCGACGACGAATCTTTCCTTTTCGACGTCACGAACACCACCGTCACTCACGAGAACGGCGTGACGCGCATCATGGACTGGAACACGGGCATCTGCAGGAATTCCAGCTTGCCCGTCGGCGACATCCAATCCAATTGGGTACTGGACAACAGGGGCGCGGGCAACGTGTCGCAGTACTTGGGCTCCATTTACATCCTGTACGAAGGAGAGTACAGACACGTGCAGCAGTGGCGCAGGACGGGACCCCTGGAGAATGTCTTCACGATCCAGGTATGACGACTAGATGGAGTGGGAGGCGCCCGAGGTGCTGAAGCGTCGAGCCTTGATGCGGCACACGCTAGCGGCACCCGCCCAAACCCGACATCGGCTACATGTATTACAGCCACACAACGGATTTCGACGATAACGTGTTTGGAGTCCTCGATGGCATCGACTGCCCAACAGAGGACCGTCGCAACAGCGCCGAGCTGATTAACAGCACCGCATTGCGCGGAGACTCTGGCTTCGTGCGTGTGGACTGTAAAGATTCCGGCCTTGTCTACAGCGACAAGGAGGAGGAAGAAAAGTAAGAAGAGGAGAGCGCCGAGGCGCGCGAGCCTGCAGAACACTTCAATGGCACGGAAGCCTTGAGTGAGGAATCCTATCGGGAATTGAAGCTGGAACATTTTTCAGGAGAGTGACTCATTCATCTTCAGCTTCAAGAGTGAAGCGGCACTAGCAGAAAAAGAAACAAATAACACTTTTTTCGAACACATATGTATGCACTTGATCAGTGTTCTGCACGCTACAGACACGAAAATAGCCCAAAACCGCAAGCTTTGCACACGTTTGAACACGTGTTATTGGCCTTTTTTTCCCTACTGCAGCGGTGGTTTGGCTGGGAGCGGCGTTTCCCGAGTTCAAATGCACCACGGTTCCAGCCGATGAAGTTATCGCCATACCAGCACCCGACCCCAGCTCGTGGGACATGCATACGCCTGTGCGCAATACACTTCTTATACAACGAAACAGGCCCACCGTGTGCCGCTACGAATATGACTGTATACGGCGATACTGTTGCTATTGCTACTACGACAACATTAATGTTATTATGCGGCGATACTATTACCGTTACAATACGACGACCGTCACTGGTGAGAGAGCGCCATCAGCATGGCGAGTTGGCTTGCAGTCGTATTTGCAATTTGTGGTTCCGATGCTGATTCATGTCCTACAAAATGGAGGTTGCCTCCTTGAGTGGTGTGGCAGTGGACGACGAACAAAGTGTTGGAGAGCGCGACGCTGAGCGAAGTCGACGGTCTGGAAGTTCTGTCATTCAAGAGAAAGGCTGATAACGGGGGAGAGATGGTGCTGGATTCCGCTGGGCCCACTGGGGCGATCTACGCTGTTGGGGCCGGTACGGAACTGGGATGGCACGGGGCGGATGGCAGGGGCTGTGTCACCATCAACGCTCATAGGCTATGATATCCAACACCTCTTTGTCCCAATGAACAAAAACGGTTGAGCGCAATTTGAATTCAGAAGTTCGATGGATCCGTCGAGACGTCCGAACGTCCTTTGGAACTCGTGTCAAGCTCTTCAACTTGGGAATTGCCGATTGAAACGCCCCTTTGTCTTGATGAATCCTGGTACACAGGCGTTTTGTGGTGCAAACTTGGAGAGGGACATGAGTTGATGACCAGTCTGATCATTGTTCTGTTTAGGATGTAGGGGTACGGTATGAATAAGTGTTGAGGGGGCGTTCAGTCGCCATCTGTCCCATCAGTAGATGCACTGGGGAGGGGGAAGTAGTGGCGGTGGGGCTGGGGGTACTCATGTTGTCGCAGGACGCCATGTGCACCCATAGGTGCCTACCGGGCTGCCATGTGCGCCAAATAGCTATTTGATAACCTGTGACTGCGCGAGTGACCCCCACGCTGTCCCATCACTGTGACAGTGACTTGTTCGGACGGTCACGCCCCCCCTAATGGCGTTCCGATGCGACCGCACACCTGGCGCTGTGCGGACACACTGCTAAGTAGTACCGTGGGCGTGCCTACAATGGCTCCCGGCCACCAACAGCGCCCTTCTCTTTTGGCCATGCCACGTACACGTGGGGCCCGCTGCACGTGTACCCTTACAGTGCTGTACTTCCCACAGCAGAACAACGACACCCAAAAGCGCGCGCAACGCGACTGCGGCCCGCACTGTGTGGCTCCAAGAACACCAGCGCCTCCAGCGCCCCGCTGGCACCCTTTCTGGGCGCCAGTCACTTGGCACGGCCTAACATTCCCATAACGTCAATAGGAAACTCATCCTGACGTAACATGTTAGCTGAGCACACCACCGGCTGATTTATATCGTGTGGCAGCGATCCATCCCCCATGCCAGCCCTTACCTCGATCCCCATGGTTGCCAGCCCCGTACGCTGGCACGCCAACCACCACCGCGCCAATCCCCGCGCCATGTCGTTGCACAGCAGAGCGCCGGCCCTCCTGGCGGCGCTCTTCGCGGCTCTGCTCATCGGAACGGATGCCATCTGCCCCTACCACATGCTGTGGATGGAGGGCTCACCCATGAAGCTCCCGGACGACCACCCGGCCCTGCGCGGCGGCGATGGCGCTACCGCCACACGCGCGCTGCTGCAGGCTGACGGCGACGAGACCCCTGATGCTACTGAATTTCCCATCGGCGCGGGTTCATGCGCGTACACCAGCCCTATGACCCAGTCCAGGTCGTGCGTCCAGTTCACCGGGGACAAGTGGATGAGCAGCCCCGGCGAGGCGGAGAGCCTGTGCACGGAGGAGGGTCCGTCACCGGGAGCCGCGGACGGTGCCTACGACGCCGACGCGCTGTGCGATGAGTTTGCGGATCCGGACTTCGCGGGCGTGTGCTTGCGGGATGCCGGGGAGGCCGAAGAGATGAGGACGGCGTTTGTGAGCGTGCCGGACGATCCGTCGTCTTCGTGCGAGGTGCTGAGGAGCGCTTGCGAGGCTTTCGGCGGAGGGCTGTTCGAGGGGCGGGGAGGAAAGTGCGGGGCGGGCGGCGGTGGGCGGGCCCCCTCCGTCAACACTTCGGCCCCGTGCCAGGTAGGTGGTCCCTGCGCGACTGGATTGGTGATCCTGACAGGGACCTTTCATCACTTGGATACGTCCCTGCTGGATTGATCGATGACCGGTCCACGGGCCAGTCGGTCAGTCAGACAGTTTTGGTAATGCTGATTTGGCAATCCCGGTTGGGGCTTGGTGTAAGGGGCTTGGGGGAGGAATGAGTCTTCTGAACGAATCGGGTCGGAACCTCTTGTGGGATGTTCGCCATGGCTTTCATGTCAGCCATGAGGCCGTTGATCGATCACCAGCTCCCCGCCTTGTGCCCTGCTGTGCCAAACTCGTGATGTTGCCAGGGCTCGTGTTTTGCGCTGAGGGCCCAGCGCATGGGCTGCAGCATGGCTCGAGTCGCCGTTTTTCTGTGGTGTGTGCAACGGTGAAGAGTGGCACAAAATCGTATGTGCAGATGCGCATTTAAGACAGAGGGGCCCTAGCACCTCCCGGGCGAAGCAAAGTGTGGTGTACATCAGTGCAACAGTAAAACAGAACATGTGCAGGTCATGTGCGGCCGATGCAGGAAGTTTAGAGAGTGAACGTGATTGAGGAACGGATTGGAATTTCGTGAGCGAATCGAGCGTTGCAATAGCATTGGCACAGAGTGGGCAACGGTATTTACCACTAGAAAACATCCTGTTGGTGATGCCAATTGCGAAGTCATTTGACACAAATTGATGCCATTGCAATCACTGTGGCGGGGCCACTTTGCCCAAAAGAGCACCACAGTCGGCATCGCAAACATGCCGCGTCAGCGCTGTGTAGAGCGTTCTACGTGGTGCCACGGTAGTTTTCAGGGCAATGGGGCAGCCCATTGAGGTGTTCCCAGGCTTGGTATTTACTGGGCAGACAGAGAGCGTATTCTCGCTATAATGTGTGAAAATAATGTTGATGTTTTTGCGCATAAAACCACATAAAAAAGTACGTGAATGCAGGCCCAGTGTAAATAAGGACAGGACGTACGGACACAGGGAGTCTGGGGAGCTGCAGCTAGATGCGCTGGAGTGGACAGAGGACGAAAAAAAATTGTCCGGCGACATCGCTACTGTTGCCGAGGGCGAGGTGTATGTTGTGTACCGGGTGCTCGAGGGTACAGTGGACTGATCATTGTTTGCAACTTCATCATGGAACATGTTTGTGTCAATGCGATGCAAAACTTTGCAATTGTGGACACAAAATTGGCGGTTTCTTTTTAAGTGGTTTTAGTCATAAAAACACAAACGCCAAAATGTTAAAAGAAACTAAAAAATAGGTAAGGCAACTTTTGCAATGCTTTAGCCCCTTCCATTGAATTGGTGAATTACTCTGTTTCGGTCTTTCCACAGTTGTCCCCCGGCATCGCTGGTGGTGGGCACATCCACATCGACTCCTATTGGGACTCTACCTGCCTGAACCAGGGAAGCGAGTATGCAATGCCACTAAGATGGGCGGCGGCTACAGAAACTGTATTGGTGCAGAAAGGGGTCCGATATACTGGCTACGTTTACTACGACATCGCCAATAACAGGTATAGTGCTTGCTGGCACAAGGATGCCTGTCCACACAACTCCGTCCCGCAATTTAACGATGATTTTGAGGACAGTGCAAAATAACTGAAACATGCAAGCATAGTTGCATCATGAGTGAGAGGACGACTCAAGGAAAATGTGGCGAGCAAGGTGAACACGGTGCATATGTTGAACATGGTGGAAACTTATAGTGCATGAAGTGTGAAACTGGAGACAGTGAATGACGGTGAGGAAATGGCCATGATTCGGTGCCGAACATTGCACTGATAATTTGAACAAATGGTGCATTTTGTAATCCAACTTTAGATGGATGGATGACAACCTGTAATTGCAGGTTGTCCTTGTTCCACAGCGGTCCCATAACAAACGAGTGCTCCTGGGCTGTGATGATTTTGTCACTGCCTGCCCAAATAATGTCAACAGGAACATTAACGCATATGCGCTACGCCCCAGTCCAAGCGGAGCAAAATGTGCAATCTTGCATGTGTTTCATGCCAGTGTATCGCTAATGAGCGCAGGTTGTACATGCTCCCATCGCTCTCCAGACGCGCTCACACGCACTCAAATGTGCCATTTAACGGGAGATGCAAATCTGCACCCAGCGCAGCAGGAGTCGAGTAATTTTTTCAGTCCTCATTCTGCTCCAACAAAGAACCCACTACTTGCCACATTTCTCGAATGTCCTCTCTTACGTTGGCCCAATGAAATTATAGGTTCCCGCTCGATGACTGCAGCTGGTTGATTTAACCAGCTGATGAACTGCTTCCGGACATACTCAAAGGAATTGGCCTCATGCGCGCAACACAGCATGTCTGTACAAATCTTGTACTAGGAAAACACAACGCCATTCTGTGCCGTTGCGATAGGAAAAGGCAGGACTGGGTGGTGGTGGAGGGCGACGAACCGTATGATGAATCTGTGTTTTTAAACGTCAAGAACACAACTCTCATTCACCAGAACGGCGTGATGCGCATCATGGACTGGGACACGGGCCTCTGCAGTAAGTCCAACCTGCCCGTCGGCAACATCCGATCCAATTGGGTGCTGGACAACAGGGGGGCGGGCACCGTGTCGCAGTACTTGGGCTCAACTTACATCCTATACGACGGAGAGTACAGGCACGTGCGACAGTGGCGCAAGACGGAACCCCTCGAGAACGCCTTCCTGATCCAGAGCTACGACGAGGAGACGGAGTGGGAGACGCCCGAGGGGCTGAAGCGCCGAGTCTTGCTGCGGCAGACGCCAGGGGGACCCGGCCAGGGGGACTCCGTCGACCTGTACTACAACCACACCACGGATTACGACGACAGCGTGTTTGGTATACTAGATGGCATCGACTGCCCGGCCCAGAACTCTAGCGACGGCATCGGGCTGAACAACAACAGCATTTTGCACATAGACTCCGGTTTCGTGAGGGTGGATTGTGAGGACTGTGGCCTTGTCTACAGCGACAAGGAGCCAGAAGAAAAGGAGGAAGAGGAGGCTACTGAGAGGCGGAACACTGCGGCATACTTCAATGGCACGGAAGTCCTGGGTGAGGAATCTTACCTGGAATTGAACTGGGAGTACCTTCCGGAGAGCGACACTTTTGCCTTCAGTCTGAAGAGCGAGGCGGCGGCGGGCTGGCTGGGGTTGGCGTTCACGAAGTTCAAGTGCGCCATGGTGCCCGCCGATGCAGTTATTGCCATACCGGCGGCCAGCGGCTCCGATGCTGATATAAATTCGTACAAAATGGAGGTGGCCTCCTTGAGCGGTGTGACAGTGGACGAGGGCCAAGTGTTGGAAAGCGCGGCGCTGAGCGAAGTGGACGGCATGCAGGTTCTATCGTTCACGAGAAAAGCTGATAACGGCGGTGAGATGGTGCTGGATCCCACGGGGCC